TAAAACACAACCCGGTACCTTGTCGCCTTTCTTTTCTGACCCTTAGACCCCTTCTGGGATTGCCCTTGTTTAAGAGGGGGGGGGGGGGGGGGGGGACTGGTTATTATTTCAAAGATTTCAGGGAAGGGCCAGATTGGTAGGTTGTATGGTATACAATCTGGCGGCCTGAAACAGGATGAAGAGGCGAGCTCTGTCGAACAAAAAAGAAGAAGGAGAAACACAGTGGCAATATCAGCGAAGTTCATGTGGGGCGCTGGGCCCGGTTCACAGAACGTGATGTTTCTACCAACTCAACAATGTATCTCAGGGGACAGTGGACCCGCTTTCCAGCAGGTGTAGCTCCCCACCAATAGACTGGAGGCACCTGTAAGACAGGCAGGTGTGCATGCTCTTGCCATCACTCCTATCTGTTGATGCGGGCAGATTAAAAAAAAAAAAAAAAAAAGGGGGAAAAAAATTTAAAAAGAGATTCCATCTGGCGGATGATTTAGCGTTTCTGTGATTGTAAGGGCCTAGTGGGAGTACAAATGCCATCAAACCCTAATTTAAAGAGGAAGACGTCGTTTCACATCCCTATCCATTGGGCCTCTCGCCACACGGCACACGAAACGAAAACGAAACGAGTGCATCCCCCATTACTATTTATAGCGAACCGATGAACCTAGAGTCCTAGACATGTTCTTTGGGACGATGCACTCGCTTCGTTTTTCTTTCATGTGCCGTGCGGCGACGCCCATTCTCCATCAAATAACTGCCACGCACAGTGAATCTCATCCTACATCTGGTGAACCAAAAAGAATGTTAGCGAGGGCATCTGGACGGCATGGGATCGTGTTGCCGGGCTGGTAGCACTGGGCCTGATGAGCTGCACCTGCTGGGAAAGGTGCAGCTCCCCACACCAATAGATGGAGCAGCTGGTGGCTACTACTAGCGGGGGCTCTGCTCATTTCACCACAGCTTGCTGTTGGCGTGGCTAAAGTGGCGCTGGTGGTGTGTTGGGGTGGGGGCGCTGGCGTCAGGGGAGAGGGGTATTTCAATAAATTATTAATGGCCTGCCATTTGTTTTTCACACTCAATTTCCTCAAAATAGTTTGTTGTTGATTCTGTGCTGTGGGTGTACGCCTGTGCGCTAGGTGATATCTGAGTACTTTCTTGACAAATACAGCGATAAGGGGCCTTCATTTGTCCCGCACGCAATTGAGCTTCGGATCACGTCGAATCTCGCAAAGCGCATTCTTGACATGTATATCGCAGGTGAGCCCCTTTTCTGTCTATGTACTAACTATATATCTATCTATAAACGCTCTTAAACACAGGGGTGGGTGTCGTGTGATGC